AATAAACTACTCATTGGCGATGTCCCCGTGTTAAAATTGCCGTCTCTCCTTTTTCCGCGGAAAGTTGGAGTCGTCTGGTGGAGCATCGAACGTCAAGTCCCACTAAAATAAAGTAGCCGATAAATTAATGACGCCGGAAATATAAAAGCGGAATAGAGGTCGAATACTTCTCTCACGCCTTCAAATAAGATTAGTTGATTACGGCTGGTCATTGGCTACGCATTTAAATATCACTTGCGTATCCCGTTAACCAACACGCGTATCAATACTATCGACACTTGGAAAATACGAGAAGGATGCGAATGTAGTGGAGGCCTAGCAGGGGCGTCGCTTCCCCCTCCCCCTTCCCTCTAAATTTGTGGGAGAAACAATTGAATTATGAAAATTATTTTTTGAACAAAGAGTTACTCAAACAACAGAAAGTCTAAATCGAGAGATGTAAGACGTCGAAAAGACATTTTGCGAAAATTTTCTAAAAGGCTTTTAATTGTAGGTTTCATTTCTATCAATATAGATTAACTTCGATCTGGGGTTTATTTATTTTTTATTTATCCTTTTCTAATTCTTAGAATTAGAAGAAGATAAAAATAAGTTAAACCGAGATTAAAGTTAATGTACGTTGATAGGAATAAACGTTAAGTTTTTCATTTTCTAATGAACTTACGGTTAGACTTAACCAGATAATGGAAAAATTTTATTTTTCTTACTAATGATTAATCACTAAACTGATGATTTTATAAACTAGAGTAACTTTTAAAGTTATAACTACACAACTATCAGGCTATTAATTAACCGTAGCTAGAAAAACATAACTTTTACATTATCGTCAAATTAAGTTTAAACCACAAGTTAATCAAAAATCAGAAAATAAAAAACCTTAAAGACGGCTTATATCTCGATGTCAGACTTTGTGTTGTCTGTGAACACTCATTGATCAATGCCTGGCTCATATTAATATTCTCTAACATGACGCGTCTTTTACGTAAATATTTTAATAAATTTTGTGTAAATTTTTGCCTACCCCTCTCTACTAAAATTCTGGTTATGAACAAGTCCTGCTACGATCAGTCAAAAATGATATGAGTACGAATTAGTGAATTAGAATCTTGAGTAATTGCATAATTCCAGAATGACTTAACTTCTGTAATTAAGACAATTACAGCCTCATCTGTATTTTACGTCAATTACACCGTGCGGAAATCGTTTACTTTACGTTATTCGATTGTTATATCTTTCGTAACAGAGAATCTATCTTTAATTATTATTACTAAGTACTCTTTTATTAAATGCTCCGCGATAATTTCTCTCTCGTTTACAAAAATACATAAAATGGATGAATTGCACGATATAAATAGCATTCACGAATGAACGCGAGAATAAAGAGGAGCGATAGGTGTAATCTGTAATCAATGACTTTATGCAATAATGTCTATATTTATAAGTTAGGGTAATTATAGGCAAGCGTAAATGTACTGCCTATGCTATAAAATTTGAATTTTATTGAATTTGTTTTAAAATGTTTTAAATATATTATAGAGGTAAAAAAGAATATTGAAGAGAAAGAGAAAACAAATGCTATTTATCCATGTTAATCGATTATCACTTTATAAGTAATTCCTTTTCATTTGATTAATTATCAATATTATATATCAAAATTGTAATATATTTACTTATAATTATATTAATTATATTTATATTAATTATTGTTTTTATTTTGCAGGTAGTCACATTCTGCTCGAGAAGTTACGAAAGTATAAGCCAAAAATTGCAGTATTCAACGGCAAACTCATATACGAAGTATTCTCGGGAAAGAAGGAATTTGGGTTTGGCAGACAACCGAACCTCGTCGACGGCACCAATACGGTAAAATAGCTTACATTTTTCTTCATGCTTTTGCACTAAAAAAATATCCTGCTTAACACAGAATTCAAAAATTCCTCGAGGAAAACCATTTAAAGGAATTTTAAAATATTCGGACGTTTCACACATCTTTACTTGCTTTTTGTGTTGCTCAGAATATTAGAAATGTCATCTGTTTTCCGTTCCCGCACTAGACTGCACTAGAACTCTTTTTCTCGCTTTCGACAAATATCAAACCTTTCTCACTCTTTCTTCACTTTAAATTCCAAAAGTGTACACTTGTTCAGCCACAGAAAATAGACTTCTGATATAATTTCAGTGAGTTCAGTGAGAATGTAGATCTCGGATGTTGTCATAAATAAACAGAGATCACTTTCGCTATATTTTGACTGTGTTATTTGAACTCGACGAAATTATTTGAATCTTTATAATTTTAATTACATAATCGTTTAGGCAAAATCCTCACTTCTCGATGTTGTGTATTTCAGTACATGTGGGTTATGCCCTCGAGCAGCGCGAGGTGTGCTCAACTACCGCGTGCTGCTGACAAGGTGCCATATTACGCTGCCCTGAAGAAGTTCCGCGACTACCTAAACGGTACGATCACGCACTTGGACGAATCAGACATCGTATTCGCCGATTCAAAGCTCAAGAAGAAGGAACACGAACCGATCGAGGATAAGAAGCCAGTGTTTACCGACGATTTGCCCGACGGTGAGAGCCGAATCACGGAGATCAACGGCATGGGAATTAAGCAGGAGACGGGCGTGATACCTGGCAAGAAGAAACGCGGAAGACCGAAAAAGATAAAAAATCCAGAGGATCAGCCACCGCCGGATCCCGAGAAGCTGGACGCAAACGGCGAGGTCATTAAAAAACGCCGCGGACGCCCGAAAAAGATCCATCAACAACAAAAGCAAATGGAGCGAGAGAATCGTGAGAGAGAGCAGCAACAGCAGCAGCATCAAGTGATAGGCCACTTGAACGACGGATACAGTAACGTGTCTAACTGCTTTTCGCCACCATTGATGTCACCTCCAAAGTTCCAGCACATGGCACCGTACGCGCCGACGATGAATGACGGCTTCTTCGGCCAGGGCATGAACGACAATAGCCCGTACAATATGAGCGCGAAGCAAAGCCCAGTGCACCTGCAGCAGCATTACAGCCAGAGCCCCAAGTCCATGTCGCTGTCGTTCACGCACTCGGACTTATCGTCGGAAATCAATACTGCAATCTCGTCGGAGAACAATCTCGAGCCGTCGCCTTTGACGTCGCCTAGCGTCGAGCATCCAGACTTCGAACCGCCCACCAGCATGTCGCAGCAAAACATGGGCAATGACCATCGTCAGTATAATCCGGCTGGAGGGCCCGATCCGACGGGTCACCATGGCAGTCCTGGCACGCCGTCCCATAACAGCTACGCCAACTACATGGGTTACCACGAGCAGCCACCAGACGCGCATAATCCGCATCCGCATCAAACGACATCGACGCCTCTCAGCCAGACCGGCGAGGAGCACTCCCATCATTCGCATCCAACGCCGCCGCATCCACACACGCCCACCCATACGTCCATGTCGCCGCACCATCCGCACGAGCAGTACGGCATCAAAAGGAACTCCGGCCAGGACGTGGCGTCGAAGAGTCTGAGCGATCTAGAATCGCTTGTGGACCAGATCCCGAGCATAGCCGATGGCGGTAGTCAGCGTCTGCAACATGCGCATCCGGGTATGCCGGGCGACGATAGCTTGGCGGAGAAGATGGACGCCCACCATCAGTCCTACATGTCCGGTTTCGGCGGCATGCCGGCTGGACCAACTGGAATGTCTAATTATAGTCCACCGTTGCCGCCGGGTAGCGGAATCTATCCCGCCTCGCTACATCACTCTCCCACTGACGCTGGTTACGGTGGTTTATACGCTATGAACAGTCGTCATCATCAAGACTCTCAGCAACAGCAGCAGCAGCAACATCAACAACAGCAACAGCAGCAGCAGCAACAGCAGCAGCAGCACAGCAAGTCCTACACGGTGGAAAATCTCGCGTCCAGTAACTACACCCCTAGCATGAATCACGGACACCCCAGCAACAATTACCCTAACATCATACCCGGGCACTATCCGGTGCCGATGGGCTCGACCAATGGCTATCTGTTCGGTGGCCTCGAGACAAGCTTGATGCAGCGTACGTACGGAATTGGTGGGATGAGCGGCATGAGTAGCATGCATCCATCCGCCGCCCTCGGCCACCCGATGGCAGCGAATCCGTACCCGTACAACGGCTCGTACTCAAGCTCGTTCGATGCTTACCCAGCGCCACCGACGAGCATACACGCGCCCAGCGCCAATTACCCCGGCTACGTCGGCACGGCTGGAGCGGCGTCCAGCAGCACCACCACGCCGCCGTCCTACCTCGCACCGTCGCACCACAGACCACCGGTCGACCTCTCCTACGACGGTGTATGATAATCGATGTGAGATACCGTTCGCCGACCCACCACCAGCCCCCGATGATCCTATCTCTTTCTCTCTCCATCCCATCCTCCATCTCCTCCATCCTCTCCTCCGCCTACCGATCGCCTCCTGTGCGCGCGCGCGCGCGCGAGCGACGCACGTATCCGCCGCGTTTATCTTTTCTACGTATTTTTACACACGTCTTTTAAGACACGGCTCTCAACGTGTCGGGGTCGCACCGTCGCGCGTCGTCCCCCCCGAATCGCCGTTCCTCCATCCTCGTCATTTTCTCCCTTTAAATCGCTCTCCGCGAAATCACCCCTCGCGAGATGCTATTTGCAATCTGCGCGCAATCTTTCGCTCTTTGTCGATCCATTTGCCGCACGATACTCTATTTCCTCTTTTTCACTCTCCTTTGCTCAAGCCAGTTCTATGTACAAAGCACCCCAGAATTGGCGAAAAATGGACATACACATTTTTCCCCTCATCGAGATAACATCGAGACTCTGATAGCAATAATGAACTACTATCCGAATTATTATTAGATAGTATATCATGCATTTTGTTTCAGATGAATACTACTTTGAGAATCTGAAGCTTAGTTCCTAAGATATTGAAACCGAGATTTGAAACATTGTGTGAAAATGAAGATGCCTTCCCTAGCAAGAATAAAGCGTAAGACAAAAATAAAACGTAAGTCGAATGTAAAAGGAGAGTGATAGAAGCGTAAGCAAACTTATTCTAAGGAGATTGGAACAATGTAATGTAAAAGAAACATTATAATGCTTTACGCTTCTTTTACATTCTATTGTTTCAATTTACGTTCCTTAAACCGTTTGTTCACGTCTCTGTCACTCTTTTTATGTTCGACTCACGCTCCTTTTTGTCTTGCGCTTTATCTTCGCCAGGAATTCGAGGCATGCGTGCTGTATTGTGTCTATATTGCGTCAATTTTGGGGCAGCCTACGCAACTGTCGGTCTTTCATTTCAACATCTCTCCACTCCTTCTCCCTGCATCCCGCTTCTACGTACTTCATCGCCACATTTCTCTCGTACTCTATTTTTTTTTATCATGCTCTCGATATGTGATTACGCCGTGAGTAATTACGGGCGCGCGGCTCGGGAACGGGAAAACCACTGGTGAAACGCGACTAGCGCACGCAACGAATGAGAATTGTAAGGGTAGATCAGGTTCGCCGATCGCGTTCTGTATCGATCCGATCGCTAAAATACACTTACACGGGCACGCATTCTGATAACCATAACGATAAATGACCTTAATACCGAACAAATCACGATTACGAATTCGGCCGACGTAGCCAAGGCTGACCAAACATGTAATTACGCTATTCTTCTTTCCTACATCGATCAGGAAGTATCGATCACACTGATTGCTACGAGCATATCTACGAGCTTTAACCGAAACCATGTTTCCGTAAACTCTTTCGTATTTCGAAGGGCGTTCAATATTGCTAAATGGGGTGTATATAGATGGATATATATCCTAATTCGCAATTGCAAATTGTTATCTTCGAAAGTCAATAAGAAACGACGCATTATAAAGTAAAGCACGAAGTCCGAAATATTACCGATTATATCGAAACAGTATAATTTCGACGAATTCAAGATACATAATTCTAGATACACAGAAAATAATTGGTTTATTTGATAATTAACTTATGTTAATCAATGATTGTTATATATTGTGCAATGACTTAGATGTATATTGATTAATTTCTCACTTAATCTTTCTCTTATTTATAAATAATATTGTAATGTTATCATTTTAGATAAAATATATAATATATATTACATAATATTATATATTATTTTGTTTATATGGTAATGATATATTATATATTTTATATAAACAACGTGTCACATGATAAAGTATAATATTATTTATTGAAAATAACGAGGGTGCAATAAAATTTTTGTTGTGATAATGTTATGAGAATGACTTTTCTGTGTCTATCAGAAAATGAAATCGATCGAATTTATACCAGTTTCGTTTCGACAAAAAACGCGCTACGATTGTACGATTAGAATAATAACATCAATCATTTACTTATCGTTTATGTATCACATTGCGTCTTAATATCATTAGCCTGTTATAATGTTATTAATGTGTTGCGTATTTGATTAATTAACACGTCAAATGCTGTACTTTACGTGACGATGCAATTTCATGTCATTGGAATTGCTATCTTAATTTCTCCAAGAAATCGACGATTTGCTTCGTTTTACGACGTGATAAGATGCACGTAATATTATTTGTTAGAAGCGATATTTGTACAATTTTTTCACTATTCAACTTTTGACACAGGAATGACCGAAGAATTTATTATCTTGACGGAAGAAGAGAAATCCGCCGAGAGATTTATCTTTTACAAACTGGTAACTGAGGAGTCACGCATCTCCTCTCGATGAGCAATCGTTCTCATTTCGATCGTGCACCGAGCCGAGCTTAATCGAATTGAAAGTTTCAAGTTCACGAGGAACTCTGTATATAAGTTCGCTCGATTGTGCCATAATGAGGTATCGTTGCTAATATTAGCAAATTAGTCTAAGTAAAAGTGATAGAAGGGACGCACGTAAATAATTGTTGACTCATCGAAATTACGAAGCTCGGTTGTGAAATTACGATTTTACGTACCCTCTCACGTTTCTACGAGTCCGTGTTGGTTATCATACAGCAACAGAAGTTAAATAAGAACGCGATCAATCGATTAGATATCCTTGTGTTCGGAGCATCATCGGTTCTGAACGCGCGAATCTGCATCGACCTTTATCAGCGCGGTCGGATGTTTCTTAGCCCGAATAAAAGATACACTATCATTTGTTTTGTTTATTCTTTTTCTTGCCACGCACAGAGTGTTCCAGATTAAATAATTTTCCAATTTCCGTTTTTGTTATTCCACCGAAAAATCACATCTCCTCATCGCGCTCTAACGAGAGATGAGCGTGGAAAATGTCACCAAATTGCGCGCCGCGCCTCGCTCTCGCGCTCGCAGCACGTGAGCTTTTTTTAACAGAGTAAATATTAATCGTTATCGTCATTGTATCGTTAAGGTTACTGCACATAGCAAGGAAAACAATCAAGCCCGATTGCGTCGGTGCATCGATCTTCAATCGTGGCACGACCACTTTCGTCAACGTTGGTCAAATTTAACCATAGTTTAATCCTTATCCGGAGAAAAAGGAACTATTTCTCGAACGCGACGTTCAGAAGGAAAGTATAAAAAATGTTATATAAAAGTATCACGCGATTAAAAGTTTCCTTTGTATTCGTTACCTCCCGCAATCGGATAAAGTCAATTTTGCATGAGAGAAACCGTTGAATTGTAGATGTAACTTAAACGTTATGCTAATTCAAGTGCTGTACGCCATTTCCATTTAATATTTCGAAACTTTTCGGATATTCTTGTATTAAAAATTCTAAATTTCAAATATATTTATACGCGCGACGTTTGATTAGAAATAACTCGTGTCATTTAATTAGAAATGAGAAATAACTTATTTATCTCCTTCTCGGGAAATGCGGGGACTAGAAGGAGACAGAAAATCGATTAAACTAAGGTTGATGTTAATCGATGTTAATAGAACCGGCCTTGCAACTCGCGCGCGGGACGGAATTCGCCGACGATCGACCGAATTATAACTTGAACCTTGGTAAGAGAGACCGCCCGCGCGACCGGATGCCAAGCTTACTTAACGTAAGAAGATGTATGAGCCCAAAACGTGAGAGGCAGAAGAAGGAAGAGACTATTCGTGTGTACTTTAATTGTTTTATCATCACCGCGCCATCCACTTTCGTACCTCGCGCCCGCAACAGCCATCGCCGTTTTCTCGTTGCAACTCTGGCTATTATTTATCGTTACAACTCGATATCGCTGTGGAGTTACGTCGTTATTAACATAGTAGCGTTACGTTGTCTCGTTAATTATATTCTGTTATGCGTTTCGCATTTTGCCGAAAGTCACTATATATTAATACACGATTATATGAAAACCGACACACGCACTCACGCACCACACATACGACACCTACACATACATACACACGCATACCTACACACGCAAAACATACGTACACTTACATGCAGTCGTAATAGATATAGCTGGCATTAATCGGCATCCTCCTTTGTCGCTGACCGACGCTGTAAAGTGACGCATCTGGCATGATTATAAATATATATACAGATATAAATATATAAATATATAAATATATATATAGATATTATATAAATATAAACTATAAATATATTATATATGTAAGGATAAGCGAGCAACATTTATCTCGGGTGAAATCACCTAGGATGTGTCGAGACATTTAAGATGATGCACAGGGTATAGATGAGAATCGTTGATATAATAACTGATGTCTATATTATAGATGTTTCTTTCGTTCCATCATCGGCCTCAAACACACACACACACACACACGAACGCGAGTCACGAGTACATACGATCGAAGTTTATTGTAGTAGATGTTTTTCAGAAATCCAATCCGATTCCGGACGGCGGCCAAGAATAATAGATGTCATCGGTGTGTTAGTCGCGCAACAACGTTCATCGATTCGCAATCGAAAAGATGAGGATTAATATACACATAACTCTGGCCGGTCGGTGCGACCGGTACATCCAACCGCACTACTAATTAATTGACTCTTCGATTAATCAAATTAACTAACTGATTGTAAATTGATCGCTCTATATTAAGGACTTTACTATTAAGTATAAATATATATTATACAGATATATAAAAGTGTGGATTCGCTGTTGAACGTGTCGAATTAAACAAAGCAAAAAAGAAAAAAAGAACAAAATCCGAGAGTTAAGTAAGCGAGTAAGAGAGCTTGGGCCGGGATTTGTGCCGGCCTCCGACATATTTTTTAATCGCTTCGAACCTCTATTATTCTACCTATTAATTAAACGTAATGGTGTATCTACGTGTGCGTTCGAACGATCGGCCTGATCCGTATCGCGGATCCGCTCTGCCAGCTCCTGTCGTCGATCGGGTCGCGATCGCTCGGGCAGTCGAGATGTGTTCTGTATCTGAATTAACGAATGTACTTCTCGAATATTCATCGCTCCT